CCCCCCCCCCCCACACACACACACACACACACACACACACACACACACGACTGCGTCAAAGCTCTGGGGCGGCAGCAGCAAGGCGTGGTCGAGGTCAAGGAGTGAGCAGCGATCGCGAGGCCCGGGGCGGTCAGCGAGCCAGCCAGGCTCGCTCCCCAAGTTGGGCCAGCTCACGAGGCGTGGTGCATATGATCTCAGCGGTAGGTCGTTGGACGTGTCGCAGCGTGGACACGGGCGGCCCAAAAGCTCTGAGCAGGCTTCCTGGGCCAACGCGCCAGCGGGCGCCTCCATCTGACGGTCGAGACCGCGAACGCGTCGAAGAAGAAGGTTGTCCATGTCCGAGAGGCGCTCTGGCGTGCACTGCGGTGTGGCGTAGCCCCCAAGCAGGTTGAGGCACTCCACGGTGTCCCGAGCACGCTCCTCTATGCACCGAGCACGGCGCACACGCGCCCGAACCGAACGGGAAAGTCCAGGCGGAGGTTGGGGAGCAACTGGCGCAGCAGGCACCGCAAAGGGCAGCGTCCCATCGCCGAGAGGTGGGCCATCACCAGGCCGACAAAACTGGCTCTCGAGAAAAGGCGGTCGGGTCGAGCGACCTCCCGACCGCTGGCCCCAGTTCACCATTGTCCCTTCTCGCCAGAGGAGGCGCTCCTCTCTTCGCGCGCCTTCCTCCGTTGCTTCTGGATCTCGGTCTCCTTCGCGAGCTGCTCGGTCGCGCACTTGGCGAGGCCTGGGGCGACTGCCACGCCGCGGCGGGCGCTCTGCTTCGAGCGGCCGATGTAGTGCTCGACCCCCATCTATCTTCACGCTGCCCATCGTCTCCTCCACCAGCTGGCAGGCACGCGCCACCACCTCCATGCAGGCCAGGTGCGAGCCGTCGACCTGGTCATAAGTCTGCGCGAGCTCAATGGAGAGCCCCAGGAGGTCGTGGAAGTGGGCGGCCGCCGAGTCTTTCGCGCAGCCGCCCTCGCTCATCCACTTGGTCTGGCGGCCGTCTGGGGCGCCGCCATGCTCGACGATGCACTCGCACAGCCACTTGTAACTGCGCTCGCCCGACAGCGGGAAGTCGTCTAAGACCTCCTGGCGCATCTGGCTCACCGACTCGCGGAAGTCTCGGCACCGCCGACCCCCCCGCGCGCGCGTCAGAGCACCCAGCAGGCGGGCGTCATCATCTTCATCGCCAGCGGCACGCGCGATAGAGGAGGTCGGGACCAACTCCACGGGCACGATGAAGCCCGACGAGAGGCCATGAAGTCCACTCTCGCCCCACAGCACATCTCCGACACCAGGTGTGATCTCGTCACCCTTCTGAATCTCGCCTGTCACCGACTTTCCCGCAATCCAGCTCATGCCCGCCGGCGGTACCTCGCTGGCCGTCAGCACACGGGCACCAAGCCCAGGCGGGGGAGTAGCAGTGCCGCCGACCGCGTTGCCGTCCTCCAGCTCATCGTCGCCGTCGTCCGCAAGCGGTCGGTCGCCTGGGAGAGGGGGAGCTGGCCCAGCAGCACCACTAGCGCCTCCGCCGCCGCCAACGCCCGCCGCCGCCAGCGGGCCCTTCCGTGCCACGCGGCGGTAGAAGCCAGGAACGTCCCCGAAGCTGACCGTCGTTCCGCCGCCCAGCACCTCGGCGTCCCGCATGTAGTACGGTGGCTCCGAGATGGCTAGACCTGCATCCCTGGCGGCGCGCCTGGCAGTGCGCACCAGCTGCAGCAGCCCCGCCCCCGTTGGATAGGCACGGAAGCGGTACACCCGTCCCGCGGGCCGCTGCCGAACTGGCGCGGCGCCGAACGTCAGCGACACCATGTCAGGACCATCGCCGTCGGCTCCGCTGGCGAGCTCCTCCTCGTAGACGTCACCGTCTGGCGTCAAGATCTTCCAACGAATGGACGGGCTCCCAGCATCGGCAGGCCAGACCAGGACCCGCTCGTGCCAGATGCCGCGGTCGTCATCATAGTGGACGGTGACGACGCGGCCTGGCAACAACTCATTGAAGAACTCCGCCGCCTTGGCGGTGCCCCCGTCGGCCCTGTACAGACGTTGTCGCGGCAGCAGCGCCATCGCGTGAACGCCAGTGGGTGAAAGCCGTCACCACCTGCGTCAGCACGCCCGTGAGCAGAAAGCCGATGGTGTGCACGTAGAACGAGCCCGCGTCCGCGCTCTGGCGGACCTGCTCCTCCTGCAGCTGCCGCACGCAACCAGCGAGCGCCCCCACATCCCCGTAGAGCCGAGCGAGGTCCGCCAGGCAGACAGAGAGGTTGCGAGCGTAGGCCAGCGCCCGCTCCGCCTCGCGCGCCGCCGCCTCAGCCGTCGGCGCGGGGGACGGCTGTCCAGGGGGGCCCCCGCCGCCGCCGCTGCGCACAAGCCCAGGCCACCAAGCGTCCAAAACACAGAGGGCACCAATGAGGGCCCACGCGGGAACTCTGGGAGCGTTGATCCGCATAGAAGAACACAGGTGCTCCCTGGAGGTCAAAGGCTTGAGCGAAATAGAACGGACTTTGTGCTGCACACACTACACGTTCGCAGGACAAGTCTCATCATCGTTATCCGGAGCGCCCCAGATCGGTGGCACTGCCCGGAAGCCAGCACAATAATAAACAGCCATCTTGAACATGGTCAGAACATACATGGATTTTGAATAGCTTGAACGGCGCGAGCGACAGTGCGCGCATGTGCCCCGCTTTGAACGTCAACGCACGCGCGCAACATCTTATGACTTGACAGGGACGGAGAGACGATGCTGGGCCTGGCTGCTTCGCTGTCATTTGGCTGTGAAGATGAACGACCGCGCAGAACTAGCATGAAAACAGTGTCTGCGGAGGGGAATCGATAGGTCCGGGCGGGCGAAGCGGGCAGAGTCTGATCCTTTCAGAAAAAGAAATCCTGGGCGTGCACTCAATGTGTTGAAGGATGTGGTGAGATCACACGATTGTATATAAGCGGCGCAAGCTGTGTAGTGCAAGTTATGTGCTGCACGCTAGCTCGTGGAATACATACATATATATATATATATATGTGTGTGGCGAAATCTATGGGCTGCAACTAATTTCTGTTCGCAGTGAGTTGTCCACTCCACTGCTCGCGCAAACATCCCACCCACCCACCCGCAACTTGGTTTGCAAAATCTCTTAAGACCGTGACGGTGGGTACCACATGGCACTTGGCAATAACAGCGACGCCGACGACGACAGCGACAACGACGATGACGACGCCGCCGACAACGACTACGACGACACCGACGACGTCTCCAACGACTTCGACGACGCCGACAACGACGACGACGACGACGACACCGACGACGACGACGACGACACCGACGCCTACGACGACGACGATGACAACGACGACAACGGTGACGACGCCGACGACGACGACGACGACACCGACGACGACGACGACGTCAACGACGCCGACGACGACGACGACGACGACGACGACGACGACAGCGGCGACGACGACGACGCCGACGTCGACGACGACGAAGACGACAACGACGCCGACGCCGACGACGACGAAGACGACGACGACGTCGCCAACGACGGCAACGAGGAAGGAGGAGGGAAGACGACGACGACAACGACGACGACGACGACGACGGCGACGAAATAGGAGGGACGACTACGAGACGCCGACGACGGACGACGACGACGACGAGGGAGGAGGAGGAAGGACGACCACGGCGACAACGACGACGGAAACGACCACGACGCCAAAGAGGACGACGACGACGAACACGAGGAAAGACAGAGGACGACGTAGGCGACGACGACGACGACAACGACGCGGGAGGAGGGAGGACGGACGACGACGACGACGACGACGCAAGAGCGCGCGCGCACGCTTGTGTTGAAAATCCGTGTTGCGAAACCTTGTGTTTTTGTAGGTTTTTTGGACACACGATTTTGAAGTCCTTCCGAAACCGATGGGTTTTGAAGGTTTTCGGCATACGCGCGCGACGACGCGCGCGTCTGCACTTCGTCCCATTTTTTGCAGGGGATTCTCGCGACGGCACACGCGCAAGGGCGTTCGACAGATTTCGACATGAGCGCGCGCGAAGCCCGTTTGGAAGCATTTTGTGAAAATCTTGGAAAACCTATGGTTTTCTTAAGATTTCGCAAGAGCTTTCGCGGAAGCTTTTTTAGCAACTCTGTGTTGCGAAACCCTGTGTTTTTGTATGTGTTTTGGACACTCGATTGCGAAATCCTTCCCGCACCGAGGGTTTTTGAAGGATTTCGGCATGCGCGCGCGACGACGCGCGCGTGTGCACTTCGTTTCATTTGTTGCAACGGATTCGTGAAAAAGTGCTATGTGAGAACAAAAAATGTCACCGCAAAGTGCTGGTTTCACCAAGGAACCTCAGGGGGGGAACCGGTTTGGCTGGGATGGTATGATTTCATATTTAGGATGGTCGAGTGTGCAGAATCTGTGTATATATATATATATACATATATATATGCGCGTGTATATATATATATATATATATATGTGTGTGCATGTGTGAGATCATACTATCCCAGGAGGAGCCGATAAGTCCGGGGGGGGAATCTATTAATCTTTTAGAAAGGAGAACCTGCGTGTTTAAATACATGTGTTGCCGTCTATGCCGTTCCAGATATGGACTGCTGACTACGAGGTGCAAAATGGTGTACCTATGTGGTGCGATCTATGTCGTCAACAAAGCTGTTTGGTGAATCGGAAATCGTATCCAGAAACGTCGGCCACCGCACGAGGGGCCCACAGGGCGTCCACGGGCGTCCACTGGGCGCAAGCCTTCGAGCACCCAGCCAGCGCAAGGGGCGCCCACGCTGAACCCGAGGGTGCCCCTCCTCCTCCTCCTCCTCCTCCTCCTCCTCCTCCTCCTCCTCCTCCTCCTCCTCCTCCTCCTCCTCCTCCCCCTCCTCCTCTTCCTCTTCCTCCTCCTCCCAGCCAGAGAGGGGGCGAGGAAGAGGGGCCGAGAGGAGCGGAGGAAGGCCAGCATAGGAAGAAGACTTCTGCCGGGGATCCTGCCACACTGCTGCCCCTCGCCCTGCGATCTCGCGAGGAAGCGCCGCTTCCCGCTGGCAGCAGCGGCCGTCGCCCCTGAGAGGCCCCCGCAGCGAATACCGATCCAAACCCCCCGTTTCCTATCCGCCTTCTCCCTCGCAGGGGGCCACAGAGGAGGGGGGGCAGGAAAGGAGGCGAGGAGCTGGATCGGCAGGCGCCACGAAGGTCCATGGGCACCTGCGCCTGAAGCGGTGGACTCAGCGGCTGACAGGCAGATCAGCAGGCTGGCGAGGGCAAATGACATGGCGGCGGCAAGACCGCGGAGCAAGGTCAGATGTCGAGGTTGGGCGTCTGCAAAAGGTCGCGTTCAGGGCCTGGAACCAAAAGAGCCTCCGCGGACTGAGACCGACCCCGCCCCCGACAACTACGTCAGGAACGAAATCCGACGAGGTGACAGAGGCGAGGCGATCTGATGGTGATCAACAGTACATTTGGATCGGCAATGTCATCCTACAGGCGGATGTTGTAATAAAAAACTAAGAATAGTCCAAATAAGCAAAAATGTCGAAAACCTAGCACGAAAGATCGTCACTAAACTATCGTGCTATTGTTATGTAATACTCCTTATGTAGAGGGTGCCCGACTTAACAATACATATGATGATGGCGATGGTAATGATCGGGACAAGCATACGTAAGTCGGAATGGCCGCGTGCTGTGACATCACGGCAAGGAATACATCTGAATCAGTTTGTAGGTGCGCATGTGATTACAGAGACGAGATCACAAAGGTGATCACGATGCAGCCGCTAAGGTAGCAAGTTGGTCTCTGTGTGCCAGAAGAGCTGCATTGCATAACACCCTGCCGTCATGTTGTTTCAAAAACACACGCCCGACAGTATTATAGGACACGGTCTCAGGCACCCGACAAATCCACATGTACGCCGTGACGTATCCTCGAGCATCCCTCCATGCCGCGGCCTGCCTCTTTCTCCGCCTGGCCCCTCCACGACGTCCCTTTCTTTGGCTGCTGGCTGAACACCGTGCCGGGCGCAGCTGACGCACGCGCCAACTCGCTAAGATTAGGTCGGGACTGTCCCCATACAGGGGAACTTTTAACCGAAAAATCAAACAAACCATAAAAATATCCCAAAATGGTTCAAAAACACTCCAAACATCGTCCCCAAGAGGCCTCCAACACGCCCAAGATGGCCTCTAAGAACCACTGATATGCCCCAAGAGGCCCCAAAGACGGCTTCCGACGGCATCAGACAAGCCCGGAACGCCCTAAGACGGCCAAAGAGGCCCCCAAGAAGCCCCCAAAGGCCCCAAAAAAACCCTCCAAGAGGCCCCCAGGAAGCTCCCAGGAGGCCCCAAGAGTGACCCAGGAGGCGCCCGAGAGGCCTCCTCCTCCTCCTCATAATCATCATCATCCTCCTCTTCCGTCCTCATCCTCCCCCTCCTCTCTTGCTCCCCAATGCGTTCCCCGAAGTCTTTCCAAACCGACTCGGGGAACAACTGGCCCGATAGCTTGGCCAAGCTCTGGCCCAGCTGTCGGCCACAGAGGCGCTTCCCAAGGGGCAGGGGGCGGCGGTGTTTCGCCGTAGGCGTCTTCGATAATCATTCGTCGGGTGTTTTGACAGATGCCCTCCGTCTGTATACGCGGATTATCGCCCCATTCCCCATGCGTGCACGGCGAATACCGAGAATCTCAGCCCAAGAGGCCCCGAAAAGGCCCCCATGAAGCCCCAAAAGAGCTCCAAGAAGCCCCCAAAGGCGCACAAGAGGCCCTCAACAACCGCCAATTCCCCAAAGCGTCGGCGGTGTGGCGTAAGCCCAAGAATAGTTGCTGTATAAAAACGACGGATTTCCCCGACAATCTTACACACCAGCCCGAAATGAGCACCATGTTAATATGTCGGTTGTTTCTGACGCATAGAACCGCGCGTTCAAATGACGCCGCGCAGACGACATGCGATCATCGCATGATTTGCAACACCCTGCGACCAACAACAACAAAAAAACGCGACAATGGTGTACATCTGTGGGCCACGGAGACTGCGAAACGCCCTCTGCGCGAACGCCGCTCGGCGCAAACGGGCGCACGACGACCCCGGCGCGGCGCCGACCTGCGCAGAGCAGCGTGCGCGAGCTTGCGGGCGCGGAGAGGCATCGCGGCGGAGAGCGCCCCGCTTCCCAAGTGGGGCACTCTCAAGCGCGACGCGCTGCGCACCAGGGGGGAGCACCCGCTCTAGGTCGGGCGTGTCCCCCCACAGGCGGACCTGGGAGGAAGGATAAAGGACACTCCAGAAATGCGCAAACATGGTCGAAAAATGATCGAAAGATCGTCCCCTGACTTTTTGATTACGATCTTTGAGTACTCCTCCTGTAGAGGGACGGGCCCGACTCAACACCAGCTGGCCGAGGCGCTGGACGCGAGGAACCCACGCCCACCGCCACGGCGTGGGGCCCGCGCCGCGCGGCGCAGGTCCGCGTCGCACCCCGCGCCAGGCACTGCACCTGCAAGGAGTGCCGACTGTCGAGCCTGAAGTCGGGCCTGTCCCCCTACAGGAGGATTTTCGACGAAGAATAAGAAATACCCCAAAAATAATCCAGAAAGAGTCTGGGGGCTATTTTTCGAGTAGTTGTTTTACCTTTTTGGGGCATGTTTGGAGTATTTTTTAGTTTTCGTTGAAAATCCCTCTGTAGGGGGACACGCCAGACATAAGTCGAGCCTCGCGTCGCTCCCTCGATGGCCCGCCAGCCGGAAGATCGCCGGCGCGAGGCTGGTCTTGACCTGGCCCGTCGACTGGCGCGACGGGGGGCTGCGCTGGGACACCGTGCCTCCAGCGCCGATTTGCCGCCCCCGAACCGAGTGCCCCTGATAATCACACCCGGGGGATAATAAAGTTCGGAGTTCGGGGGGGTAATAAATCTCTCGTCCCGGCAACACGTTCGTGTTAGTGTTGCTACTCGACAGAAGATGAAGCTCGGCCTCGCCAAACCTTTCCCCGACCAACTCTTTCCTGGCTCGGGATAATCAACTCTCAGGGGTCAAGGGGGGTATACTTTATTATCTGGGCCATGCGGCTATGTGCTCTGTTCTGCTCGCGGAGCGCCCTCGAGGGCTAATGCGCAGCTCTCGGCACAGCCTTGCCTTTCCGCGAGTGCGCTATCGGCGCCAAGTCTCGGCGGGCTCTTCGTGGATGCACACGCCGAGGAGGCGTAGGGCGCCTGGGCCTGCATGGCTTGGGTTGGAACTCTGCACGGCGGGTGTTTTCGAGCCTCTTCTGCCTCCAGACTGGCTCTGCCTGAGATCATTGGCGCTCCCATCACCGCATGCCATCGGCCGAACCTGGATAAACGTCGCCTCCTTATCCTCCTCCTCCTCCTCCTCCTCCTCCTCCTCCTCCTCCTCCTCCTCCTGATCCCCCCCCTCTATTCTCCTCCGTCTTCACCATACCCTATCCATTCCTCCTCCTCCTCCTCCTCCTCCTCCTCCTCTCATCATCATCATCATCATCATCATCATCATCAGCAGCAGCAGCAGCAGCATCAGCATCAGATCATCATCATCATCATCATCATCATCATCATCATCATCATCATCATCATCGTCATCATCAGTATCATCATCATCATCATCATCATCATCATCATCATCATCATCATCATCATCATCATCACATCATCATCATCATCATCATCATCATCATCATCATCATCATCATCATCATCATCATCATCATCATCATCATCATCATCATAATCATCATCATCGTCATCGTCATCGTCATCATCATCAGCAGCAGCATCATAATCAGCATCAGCATCATCATCATCATCATCATCTTCATCATCATCAGCATCATAATCATCATCATCATAATCAACATCATCATCATCATCATCATCATCATCATCGTCATCGTCATCATCATCATCATCATCATCATCATCATCATCATCATCGTCATCATCATCCCCCCCCTCTATCCTCCTCCGCCTTCACTATACCCTATCCATTCCTCCTCCTCCTCCTCGTCCTCCTCCTGCTCCTCCTCCTCCTCATCCTCCTACTCCTCCTCCCCCTCCCCCTCCTCTTCCTCCTCCCCCTCCTCCTCCTCCTCCTCCTCCTCCTCTTCCTCCTCCTCCTCCTCCATTCCATTCCATTTCCTTGTTAAGAAACATCTCCCTGTCGCACCCCGAGGCCAGTCCAAAGGACGGGCCGGGCGTTTCGCCTGAGATTTCCTTCATCATCACTTATGACCCTGAAGCTTAAATGTTGGCAACAGTTTTACAGATGGAGGACGGACGACTTTCAAAATATGGCTCTCGCCTCGGCGCAGCGCACATGCGTCGAAAAAATGTTCCAGAGCTTCATGGATTGAGGGCGGGTGGCTTTCAAACTGTGGCTCTCGCCTCAGCGCCGCGCACATGCGTTTCAGAAACTGCAAGAGTTTCACGGATTGAGGGCGTGCGGGTTTCAATATGTGGCTCTCGCCCTAGCGCTCGTTTGAAAAATGCGCAAGAATTTCACGGATTGAAGGCGGGTGGTTTTCAAAATGTGGCTTTCGCTTTAGCGCCGCGCACTTCGCGCCGCCCCTTTTTAAAAATTTGCAAGAGTTTGCAAGACTCCGATGGTCAACGTACCAGAAATGGCGTTTGGGGAAGATTCTGGATTATGAGGGTGGTGCAACAGTTACGTTGATTCGCGGTGTCGAAGTCTGACGAATGGCGTTCTGGCACGAGTCAGGATTGTCAAGACGCAACAGTCAGGTTGATCCGTCGCGTTGGAGTCCTGAGGATACTGTTTTAGCATGCTTCAGGGTCTTCACACAGCTGTCTTCCAACGAGACAGCCTCCTCAGTGGAAATGGACCGTTGTATGGGGCCTATGAAGAGGGAGCTTCGAGGGAGGGTGTATTCCAACATCGTTGATGACTCTTGGGTTTACACTGGTCCTCCTCCTCCTCCTCCTCCTCCTCCTCCTCCTCCTCCTCCTCCTCCTCCTCCCCCTCCTCCCCCTCCTCCTCCAGTGCCCCACCCCTCTCCCACCTGCACGCCAACGCTCTGCCATCCCCATGGGCTCCTGCCAGTCTTCCAGACACTGTGCAAGTACACTGGAATGTAAAAGGCCGTCAAAACCTGCAGCCACGACGACGTGAACGTGGTGATGTAGCCTCCCCCCTGCTCTTTTCACGGCTGTGTCTACACCTCTGAAGCAATGGCCTCATGCAGTCATCGACTCCCCCGCCTTTCTACGCCTCGGCGTGCGAACAACGTCAGTTGACCTTGAGCACATTATATTGCGAACCAATGCGCGTCCGACCTCCACGTGCAGCTGACAGGATCTACACGCTCCCGTGTGCACTGCTCGTGACGGTCCGCACTGCGATCACATGACGATGGATGCGATGGCATACGTCGGCGGCGAGTTCGGGGGGAAGTGAGAAGGAGAAGGCATTCTCAGAAGATTCGGAAGTCCCCCTTCCGTCTGGAAAGTTTCCGAAACCTTCCCCGAAGACACACAAAAAACTGGTCAGAAGGCCAGAGCGATTCTAAGAAAACCTGCCGCCCTCTGAGAAGGCCTTCACCTTCTTACTTCCCCCACTCGTTCGCCGCCGAATACGTGTGAAATGCGTCTGGCACATTGCGAGCCAGCTTGACACAACCATGCGCACTCGAATTCGCAAACACCCTGGCACTCTAATGCACGATCGCGCTCAACCTCGTGATGCAGCTCGGCGGCACAGCACGATACCCTGGCAATCGCAAGAGCAATTTTGCAGCAAGCAGCTACAGAGGACTAAGCAACTGAAAGCATAAGCATAAGCATCTACACAACTCTGAAAAATGTAAACACAGGCGGGAACATACAGAACACATCGGCGCTACAAAAGTTTCGTCACGGCATGGGATGTAATCACCTCGCGTTGGCAGGCCAGGATCCCGCCAGTGGGATTTCGAAAACGAGAATTTGAAAATACCCCGTTTGATATATATATATATATATATATATATAGATTAATCCCAGAATTCGAAATCGCGGATTCTTGATCCGACCGGTCTTGATCCAACCCGCTGGGATTCTGGGGGGGAAAGGGGGCAGCTTGGCGTGGTCGGGACAGGGGTCAGCCTTCGCCCGCCCGCGCGCGTGGGAGCAACGGACGAAGCCTGCATCATCTTGACGCCCCCATAAAACGTGACGAACGCCTGCAACGGCGTACTATCACCCAACACCACCAGCTTGAGACAGGCCCTGCACGGAAGACCGGACACCGAATGGCGACACACGGCAGAAGGTCGTGATCCGTGTGCGCGCGTGCGCACCAAGCCTTGCCTGCCATCTGGCTGCGCTGCCACCTCCTTCTGGCTGCCCCGCGTCTCCTCCTCCCTGCGCTGCTGCTCCGCCCCGCCGCCTGCGGGCGCTTGGGACGCTCCGCCCGCCGCCTCCCGCCCCACCTCTCCAGGCCCCCCTGGCCACCTGGCCTTTGGCGGTCACGCCGCAGCACCCGCGTCACTGCCAGCCATCTTGCCGCTGCTCCTGCCTCCACACGGCTCAGTGCTGTGCCTGCTCCTCGGTGCGCCGCGGCACGCCGTTCCTGGTGTCCCACTGCGCCCGCCCGCCGGCTCCAGCCGCTGGCTGCCGCCCTCCCGCCACCCTTGCCACCGTGGTTCGCCACGGCCGCTCACCGCGCTCTGGCCCTGCGCGCCTGGCTGCTGCTGCCCCCCGGCTGCTGATCGTCGAACTCTTCGACGTCTGAGCGTCCCTTCTTTCTCTCGGCCGTCCCCCCCCCCTCTTTGCTCGCCAGCCAATTCGCTAGTGAATGGCCTTCTCTAGCTTCTCGCTGGAGCGGAGTTCGCCGCCTCGCCGCTGACGAAAGAAGTGCGTATCAGGCCGCTTCTGGGCGGATCCACATGAGGAGCGAGGACGAGGGAGAAGAGGATTGAGACAGAAGAAGCTCATAAGGAACAATATCACTGCACCGACCTTGCAGACGTGCTGCAGCGGATTTTTGCGTGGATTTCTGTCCATGCGAAACGAAACGGCGAGTGAAAAACGAAGTGAATTTCGCGTGGATTTGTTCTAGTCTTCATCCCTGGCCGAAAAAAAAATCCGCTCGAAACTCACCTCGAAATCCGGAACGAAACTCTCCAGGACACTCCGGGCCCATCCTATCGCTTCCCGAACGAACTCCACTCTGCGATGTTGGCGGCATGAGCAGAAGCAGGAGCAGTAGCACACGAAGAAAAGGAGGCGGGGAAGAGAGAAGGGCGGCCCGACATGCCCCCGGGCCGCGCAAATCCAAATCCACCCTGGGCGGGCCCAAGAAGGCGCGGCCCATGGAAAAGGGCAGGAGGAAGAGGAGGGGCAGGAGGAGGGGCAGGAGGAGGGGGAGGGGAGGAGGGGGCAGGAGGAGGGGGAGGAGGGGAGGAGGGGGCTCAGGGAGGGGGAGGAGGGGGAGGGGAGGAGGAGGTCGAGGAAGGGCAGGAGGAGGGGAGGAGGGGCTCAGGGAGGAGGCTCGGTGCAGCGAGATCCACAGGTTCCCTCCCCATCCTGCTGTCCCCCCTCGTCGAACACTCTCCCTCCCTCTCAAGCTTCCTCCCATGCCATCCTCTGCCTACTCTTGGTCCGTCACTTTCCTTCGTCTCTATGCCCCTCCCCCTCCTCCTTTGCCTCATCGGCTCCTCCTATATCATGCACGTCCTCCTGGCCCGCCTCGTCCTCTTCAGCTCCTCTGCCCTCTCCTCCTCAACCACCTCTTCCTCCTCCTCCTCCTCCTTCTCCGCCTCGTGTTCCCCCCATCCATCCTCCCCATCCCTCTCCCATCCTGCGTATGCCTCCTTCTCCCTCCTCTCTATCAGCATCGTCGTGATCATCAGCAGCATCATCGTCGTCACCATCATCGTCCTAATCATCATCGCCGGCATCCGCAACATCACTGTCTTAATCATCAACCACGCAACATCATCGGCATGGTCGTATTCCATGACGCCATAATCCGCTGTCTACGATAGCACCCTCGTGCTCCCACCTCATCACTATCGTAATTCGAGCGGTTCCTCATCGTCGTCTCCTCGTCGTTGCTGCATGCGCATCCTGATTAGTATCATCCCCATCGTCAGCGGATTCATCGTCATCATCATCATCATCACCACCACGAGCATCGCCAGCATCACCACCACCACCAGCATCGTCAGCGTCATCATCAGCAACAGCAACAACATCCTGATCATCAGCATCGTCATCACACGCAAAATCGCATCAGCCTGACACGCGATCACATCGACAGGTGCGTACGCAATGTCGCCAACACACGCTGCATACGATAGCACATACACATGCTCCCACCTCATCATTATCGTAAGTCATGCGGTTCAGCGGGGTCGTCCCCCCGTCTCCCCGTTAGCCGCATCCTCATCGCCATCCCCGCCATCGTCATCATAGTCATCAGCCTCGTGATCACCACCAACATGAGCATCGTCAGGAACATCATCATCGTCATCATCGTCATCCGCAGCAGCACTACTACCACCAGCAACACCACCACTACCACAAGCGTCATCATCACCTCTGCCACTGTTGTCACCAGCTGCACCAGCAACATCACCAACAACAACAACAACAACAACATCATCATCATCATCATGATCATCAGCGTCAGCATCACCATCATCATCGTCGTCGTGGTCATGATCATCAGCATCATCATCATCATCATCATCAGCAGCATCATCATCATCCTCATCATCATCATCATCATCATCATCATCATCAACATCATCATCATCATCATCATCATCATCATCATCATCATCATCATCATCATCATCATCATCATCATCATGATCATCATCATAATCATCATCCACATCGTCAGCAGCAAAAGCATGATCATCAGCAGCATCAGCGATCATCAGCAGCAGCAGCATCAGCAGCAACATCATCATAATCATCATCGTCATCATCACCATCATATGCATCGTCAGCATCGGCATTATCCACGTCATCATCATCAGCGACATCGTCGTCATAATCGTCATCATCATCAGCATCATCATCAGCATCATCATCAGCATCATCAGCATCAGCAGCATCATCATCATCATCAGCAGCATCATCATTATCGTCATCATTATCATTACCATTATCATCAACACCGTAATCATCATGTTCATCATCATCAGCATCATCATCATCATCATCGTCATCATCATCATCATCATCATCATCATCATCATCATCATCATCATCGTCATCCTCATCGTCATGTTCATCGTGAGCTTCATCTTCACCGCTTTCGTCATCAACATTCGCAGCATCAACATCATCATCAGCAGCAGCATTATCGTCATCCGCATCAGCATCAACATCAGCATCAGCATCGTTATCATCAGCATCATCAGCATTAGCATCAGCAGCAGCATCAACATCAGCATCAGCATCATCATCATCATCATCAGCATCAGAATCAGCATCAGCATCAGCATTATCATCATGGGCATCAGCATCACCGCATCATCATCATCATCATCATCATCATCATCAGCATCAGCATCATCATCATCATCATCATCATCATCATAAGGATCAGTATCAACATCAACATCATCAGCAGCAACATCACCAGCATCCGCCACATCACCCTCCTCCACCTACACTCCTCATGTTCGTCCCGTCTAGCGTATGGGAATCCTTCCCCGTACAAGCCCTCATCATCTTCATCGCTCCGTATGGTGATCCACTATCCGCCGACCCATCTTCCGCGTCCCCGCGCTCATCCTCATCCTCAGCCTCCCCCAAAACTTGCCGCAACCTATTTCGCGTCGCCCCCCCGCACCCTCATCTCTGAGTCCCGTCCTTCTCCTCTTTTCCGTACAGTTCTTCGTACTTCTCATCCCAGTCCTCCTCCTAGTGCTGCTCCTTAATTCCTAGATCGCGTCCTCCTCCTCCTCCTTCTTTTCCTGCTCCTCCTCCTCCTCCTCCGCCTCCTCCTCCTTCTCCTCCTCCTCCTCCTGCTCCTCCGCATCCGCCCTCTCCGTACCCTCCTCCCCATCCACAGTATACTTCTCGCTCCCCCCATTGCTGTTCAAGTTCCCCTCTTCCACCCTAACCCGCCCTTCTTCGGCCTTCTCCACATGTTCATCGTCATCATGCTCATCATCCCTGCTGTTGCTC